GGGAAGGCATTCACCAGGGGAGAACGTTTTTGGCAGGCATAGGGCTGAAATCTCTGAATGGGCTGGGCCTTTTCTCCAAGCAGCACCGACTCTAGCCTCAGCCAAACTCAAAAGTCAGGGGGGTCAATAACGCTGTCCTTGCTGAGAAGGAGACAGTGGAGAAAGATAGAGTCTGAATAGGGAGGTATTCCTCAGCCCAGAACTGGTTCTGTTAGGAAACTAATACATCTTCTGTCTCTACTAAGTTTCCTATGACACTTTCCCTGGATACAATGGGGATGCATACGTACTTTCCAACCCTAAACAACCCACATCTATGTCTTATGATTTCCTTCTTAGAGGACCACAGCTACAGAGAACCCATGTTGGCCCTGGGGGAAGAAAGGGTCCCCACATGAACATCAGTAGCAGAGCCGTGTGAACAGAAGATTTTTTTTTCAGTTCATTAGCTAAACTGAAAATATATCAAAGCAAACTTTCATTTTGTTTTAATGTTAACCCATTTTGAACGGGCAAATTTCCAAGGTAAGCATAGCTTCAAAATGAAAGCTCAGAATATTGTCTTTTCGAAACGCGAAACAACACGTTCTGTCTCTTTCAAAACTTTCCTTCAGCCAAAACTATAAAGCAAATTCAACAGGAAATTTGGCAGATTTTCAGTTGACCTGAAACTTGAAACATCTGTTTAGAAACAAACAAACAAAAATTCACTATCCATCTGAAAAAAAAAGCCGGAGCTCTTTCCTAAAGCACAATCTGACTCTCTGCATGGAGAAAGCATTTATTTCTATCCTGTGTGCTTCAAAATTGGGAATTAAAAAAAAGTATAAATGGTTCATTTATTTACTTTTGGGGGGAGGGGTTATACAATGTGGAAGAGAAGAGTAGCGAGTCAGAAACAGCACAACTCATTCAACTTTGTTCACAGACTCCACGGGCAAAATCCTAGCTCTGCTGAAATCAATGACAACTCCTCTCCACGTCAGCTGCTCCAGGAGTTCACCCCGTATCTTTATCCTTTCTCAAATTAACTGAGCTTTGAAACACCAATCTCTGGCCTGGCACTGTGGATCTATTATGGGGAAGCATCTTAATCATCTTTATAAGCAATTATATTTTTAATGCTGTGTTGCTAAATCATGTGGCTGCTAACACACAGTGTATTTTAGTCTACAGGTACCAGCTGTTACAGTGCTGAACAGCTGACAGTACTAAACTGACTCAGATGCAGACACACACACTCGCTCATGTACACGCGCTCGCCCCAGCCCCAGCCCAGCCCCCGCCTCTTCCCGAGCACAAACAAAACAAAGAAATCTTCCAGACCTCTCCGAGGGCATCCTCTCCTCCCATCCCTGCAACCAGGATTTCAGTGCTCACTTCCTTGTTTGGAAAAATACCAGACTGTCTCCTACCTCTCAGTTCTCGTCTAGTTTGCCTAGGAAACTCTTATTATGTCTCTTATTAAAATGATCCTGATCTACATTTTGTTTTTATTGCAGGTCAACATTTCCTTTCTTCCATTCATTACAATGGCTATTCTCTTATCAAAAACGGTTTCTCTCTCTCTTTCTCTCTCTCTCTCCCTTTTTGGTTGAAGCTGATAATTAACCCTTCACAAAACAAGGCTTATGGCACAAATTACTACCCAGCAAATGTGGGGCTGGGGATGGGGAGGAAGATGACACAACAAACGTTAGACAGAACAGCCTGTTCCAGACATAACATCTGCAGAATGAGTCCATTTTTCTGTAACTCTAATCTCATAATTCATTGTTTGTGTGGTGTTGGTTACAGTAGCTGAAAGGGGGAATAACAGCAGGTCAATTTGGCACAGAGTCACGTTTGAATTTGAAATGAAGGACTAGACCTCCTTCTCATGAGGAATTGAAATGTTGCCAAAAAAAATGGAAAATAAGCAGGAAAGTAGCTTAAAAAATTAAGAGGCCCTTAAAGTTCCATTATCCTGAGAAAAATCCGTCTTTATTAAATCACGTGCCTGTTTATGACTAACCCGGAGACCGTGTGATGTAAATTGGTTTTGCTGGGTGTTTATTTTTTGCACATCCATGCAAATAGCTCCTTAGTCAGCCTTGCTTTTGTTTCTGGTTACTTTTGCTATTCGGCTCTCATGAAACAGCATCTGGCTGCAGGCTTGGGATTGCAAGGGTTGCAGGACCATGGGTTGGGTTTGTTTTGTTTTCATAGTTTCATAGTAGCTAGGGTCAGGAGGGACCTGAACAGATCATCTAAACATTTTGTTTTAGTAATTAAAAATCCCATTAAATTTGTATGTATTTTAATCTTAAACTTTTTGTAATGAACACACACGTGAAATTGTGAGCCTAAATCAAGTAACGGGGAGGGAGGGTGATTTCAGGCTTGCAAGGCCGCAGCACATCTGCTCTTTGAAGAAAGAGAATGAGCAAAGTAGGTTTTTCTTCTGCCTTCCATTTGTGTGTTCATAAATTTCCTGATGAGAGACTGTCCCTGTGTGCAGGTACGTATGCAAGAGGGAGAGTAAATAAAAACAGAGTGAGTCTGTGTGTGGGGACTGCCCTTCCTCCCCTGCACGCCACCTCCTCTTCCACCCCTTCCCCTCAGCATTTGACCTTGAGCTCGTTCTCTTTCTCTCCCTCCCCACCTCTTCTGCATCTGGCATCAAATGCAAGCTAGTACAGCTGGGGTCCTAAAAGTCTCCTTTCTACGCACAGTCTGGGAACCACAGCTGCCCACCTTGATCCCGTTAACCCTTGCCATTCCAGAAGGCACTGTGTGTGCATTCTCTGGTTAGGAGGTAGACAGGTGGCCTCCCCTGAGTGCACTGTAAATACCATTCCATGGATTAATTGGTACGATGTCTTTGCCCCCCTCCTCGTTCCCATGTGGTGAGAGGTCACTATCCTCCCCCTTCTCCAGGAAGCACTTCATCTCCAATGTGCCTGATTTCCACCAGCCAGAGCTAGAGTCAGTCATGGCTGCTTCTAAACCTGGGCGTTCTGTGCTGCTGCTGCTGCTGCTAAACAACCATAATCTGTTTGTCTTTTAAACCAGCATGTTATGGAACAATAGCCAGCCTTGTGCTCTCCGAGACTGTGCATCCCTGTCCTTGCAGCTGGTGCCTCTACCAGTACTAAGCTCCAGTGAACAAGATCAGCTGAAACTCTCATTCCCCTTCGTCCTCTTCAAGGGCTTGCCTATCCACTGGGGCCACTATCAGTTACATGAAACATTTGGTTTCCAATGGAGTGTTTGTGCTGGAAGGCACAGGTCTATTCGAGCAGCAGGCAGTGATCCCAGGCAGAAAAAGCTTGCCCTGTGTTAGTTTACAACAGTTTCACCCACACAGAAAAGTACAATGGAGACAGATCATGCACAATGACAGGCTGCCGGCGGCTCCAGGGGATCCATAATTTATGATGTTTTTCTTATCAATCCGGTTTTGGATTTCACAAGCAGACCAGTTTCCTTCCCATTTGTTGCTTCCTTCCGTCCCTATTTCAAGAAATTTTGCTCCAAGCCCCAAATGAGCAGGACCAGTGATAACTGCCCAGATCATAATGTGCTGTATTTGCATAGACAGAGGGGAACCCCCAAGCTTACCTAATCTCTGTCAAATTCTGACATAGAAATGCGAATGATTTCACACATGCCTTATAGCATTTGAGCTTCCTGAAAAACACTAGCAGCCCATGTGTCAGCACCCTGAACCACATTCATGTTCATTGGGTCATCTGGCAAAACAGGGCTACCGAGATTTTCAACTGGGTGATTAAGGGCAAAGATACTAACAAAGGCCTTTAAGGATTGTCCTTGCTCAAATAAAGAGAATCAAAGCTTAATCTCTTCCATCATTTGTACTCTAGCAGGCACTTCCTTGCTGCATAGAAATACAAGATAGCAAGGTACCACCTTCCCATGAAACTTCAGAAAAAAGGAGGCTGGTGGGTCATCAGGGTGGTTTACAAATGACCAAGTGACGTGCATTTCTGTAATGGGCTGATTGAGAACAATGAAACTAAAGTTCCTTAAACTTCAGATCCACATCTGAATTCTCACAGTATGAGATTAACTCAATGAATCCATCTGTGACACATTTATTTTTCTTTTTAGTAAAGGTCACACATTGCAGGTTTCAGAGCTCATTGTGCTAAACTCTGATGCAGTCTAATGCATTGCACAGACCAAAAGAAACAACTATCACAAAGCAGTAGGGAAGGACTGGCATGGAGTGGGTTTGTAAAAGTCTAATCATTTCCTATCACATCATTGGGCCTTGCTGGAGGGTACATTGTGAGTGAGCTGGTTTCAGTTGTAGTTGAAGGTAATGAAGGGACAGGCCAAGCTTCCTCAGACACTTAGGGGGTGGGCCATGAGCTCTCAAACAGAGACTGCCTTACTGCTGATGGCTGGGTCATCACTGTGGTTTACAAATGACCAAGTAAGGTTAAAACCACAGTCACTGTGGTTGCAGACAGCTGTGATTAGTCACACAGTAAGTGATCCAATTATGGCAACCCCTCCACCCCATTTCATCTGTCTAAAAGGGAAACCCAGACCTCTGTTAACTTGATTTCAAAAAAGATTTTATATTGTAAAGAAAGAGGAGCCTGAGGTTTGAAAGGAAAGAAGAGAGAGATGCTTTGGCTGTATGAAATTTAGTTAGTATATAAGGTGCGTATCTCCCCCGGTTTCTGACTGAATGAAACTGGGGCTGAGCTTTCAGAAGTGAAGCAGAAAGGAAGAATGATACTGCACTGTGTGATCCCTATGCTTTAAAAATAAAAAGCACATGGACAGGTCCAAAATAGCGCTATATCAGATGGATCCTGAATTTTTCTTAGAATCATCAGCATTTTGGCTGTGTTTATGGTACGCTGTAACAAAATTCAAGATGGAGGATGATGCAAGTAAAAGGTCAGGGTGTTTTCTTGTTCACTCAGGCTAAATACAGACAATCAAAAACCCCAAGGCTGAATTGATTCAGTCTTTGCAGGTTAGTCTAAGCTGCAAAGATTGAACCAATAAGCAAATGAACAGACTTTCATGTGTGATTCAGGAAATGCAGCCACATGCCTGCAGTGACTCAAACCAGAAGTTGGGGGGGCACTAGAGCATGGCTGTCTGGCACATAGCAAGCATGGGCAGTGTGTTTCCTTCCTCTTCCTGCTGCCCCTGAGGAGTCTGGGATTTACAGTTCACAATCACAGCAGCAGGACTCTGTAAGGTTGCTCATCACTTCCTCTTCCTGCTTCTAGGTGTTCTGGAGTCCAGCCAGCAGTAAGCAAGCCAGCAGGGTAGCACAGCTGTGTGCTTGGGGGAAGGGGAGTTTAACCGCCCCCCTTACCCCAAACCCTGGTTGGGGTTTCTGGGGTGGGGCAGCAAGCTAACCCTCATTGCTCCAGCTAAGGAGCAGAGGGGTACGGCCAGCCCTGCTCTCTGGAGCAGACAGCACAGCTCAGCCCAGCCCAGCCCAGCCTAGTCCAGGGCTGGAAAGCATGCTGGGATGCTGGGGACTGTGATTTAACTTGAACCAGTAAGGGGTCTGGGACAGAAGTTTCATAAACCAGTTTGACCTACATCTGTTAAGTCTGATACTACATTCAACCTGGTTTATCTTAAATCAGTTTTAGCCATTTTGAAACTGGTTTATGTGCACTAAACTGCTGTTCTGTTACAGGTTAAAACCAGTTTCTGATCACTAAAACCAGTTCCTAGCCCAGGTGCCTAAGTCCAGGTAAGTATTAAATAGGCTGCAAGCTCTTAGTGAAATCAATGGGCTGCAGCTGGTGTTAACTTCCCTAACACTATTTACTCTGTGGCTTTAGCAAGTCAATTAAACTCTTTGTATCTTGGTTTACTGACTCCCTAAAATGGGTATAATGCAGACATAGCTCCCACGAGTGCTTTGCTGTTTAATTGTCTAGGAGAATCCTTTATATTTGAAATATGAATCATTTAAAAAGAAAGGATGTAAAAATAATTTGAGGTGCTGCACCTATGTCTCCTTTTCAACTTCTGTGGTTTAATAAATACATTGTTCCTATGTTCTTAAAGTTTGCAGTGAAAGACCCACACAATCAAGAGGGGAAACTGAGTGAGTAATTTGCCTTTGGGAGCCTTTGCAATATTTCCAGCCCAATGCACCAAGGAAATAAAATGACAAGAAGAGAGAAGATACTTTTTCCGTTTGAGTAACTATCAGGGTAACTTGTTGCAGAGTAGGTACATCATTTTCAGGAGGGTGGGATTTTTTTTCCAATTGACTATGTTCCTTTAACAAGACTGTTTCTCTTCTACATTTACATGTAGACACACAAGTGGGTGGGGTAAGCCCCTGTGTGGGCTACCCACACTTTTGATTGGGGCACGCAAGGAAGCAGGTGGTCTGCACCTGCTACTCTCTCCCTGGAACAGGTGAGTAGAGGAGGTAGAGAC